TAATACTTGAAATTTATATGATCTCTTGGAATTTGCAAAATACCACTAGATTGGGACCCACTGCAGTGAGAGCTGCCTGCATGAAACTTCGTGGCTGTGGGCAAGAAGTGGTGCTTCGGGTAAGCAGTGACTAGGTTTCTCGCCAGCCCAGGTCTCCTGGGCAACCCACTACAAAGTGATATGTCAGAAGCCACGGACCAAGGCTGTCAGCAGATCCCTTGTCCCACAGCTTACTGCCAGGGCACTGTTGTGTGAATCCAACCCCACAGCTGTAACTACCAGTGACAAATTAGAGGTTTCATTGCACGGTCCATTGCAGTAGACACCCGGAAGCCCCATCCTCTTTGAAACAGGCAGGTAACATGTTACTTAGTTTAACCTCCCCTGAACATTATCTGAACAGCAGTAGCAGGAGGAGATCCTGCCTGATCCAGAATGCCTGTGCCAGCACCACTTCCTGCAGCAGGGGTGACTGAAGGTAGCATATGTCACGGCTCAGCTGTTGTGCTGGATTTCAAGGCAGCACTGAGGACAGGAAATAAGCTAGGGCTAGGCTAGGACAAATGACCTAACAAAGGATTAGTTTTGCAGCTGATATTCAGCCACTCAAATTACAGAGGCCAGGAGGAGAGTGGAGAGCTGAGATTTGATCCTGCCAACAATGACACGCAAGGAGATTTTATGTGTCGAGTGGAACTTGGCAGCCAAGTCTCCAGGCAGAGATGATACGCTGTCAGGAGGGTGACAGTGCCCCAAGGCCAGGGGTTTGTCTGTTTCAGGACTGCACCTACGACTGAGAAGAGAAAACCTGGAGACTTGCTCCTGGAGAGGAGTTCTTGCAAGGATGAGGTTAACTGCCAAGGTCAGAGCTAAAGCAAGACCTGCGTCCAGTACTAAACATGCAAATTGAAAACATAAGAGAAGCCTAGTGCTGTGAAGTGGCACATCTGACAAGAGGCAGAGAAACTGAGGCTGCTGAGCAGGGGAACTGCTGCACTGACCAGGGCGAGGGCAGGAAAACCATCTCAGACTCCCTCCAAGTGCACTCTGCTCCTGGCAGAAGTATCAGAGTCCGTCCCTGATCTCCTGCAGAGCAGGGCTGGGAAGGCAAGACCTCAAAGACCACAGGCACCTGCCAGCTACTGCTCACCTAATCGTATTCATTGTTTCTTCCATCAATGTTTCTCCTCTAAGTTCTCATACTTGAGCTGCCTCAGGATGAGCTGGCACAGTTGGTGAGAAAGAGATGGCAGTAGCTCCAATGTTCCTTCTGCCAGCTCTCCATCAATAGTGGCTCCCAGGTCTGTGTCACTGTGGCAAGTGGCAGCAGCAGAGCATGCTGAGAAAGCCTAGCCAGCCAGGGCACTTGGCCCTCAGGAAGGTGTCAGCAGGAAGTTCCAACAGGTGGGAGAGCAACTCTGTGGCCTGGTGGCCAGCCTGCCAGACGCTGGGGACACAACAAGCCACCGAAACATCTGGACAAAAAGGAGCACCTGGCAGCCAGCTCCTCAGCCCGAGGGTGCCTGCACATGGGCTCTCAGCCTGTCAAGGAACATGAAGGTGGACGTGAGTCCAAACCATTCACTGCACGACACAGTGCTCCAGGGACCCTTCAGAAAGCACTACCACGGGCATCGTGCTTTCAAACCTCCAAACCATCTACAGTGTGCACAGGGAACCTGCCCTAACCTCCGCTGGACACTGGGAAAGACAGGCAGGGGCAGTTTCAAATGAGGCCCACTGCACTTCAATGCAACAAATCTGAAAACCGTCTTCATTTGTTTGAAGCTGATGCTCAGGAATGTCGGTACTGCCCAGGATATGCAACTTTTGGGGAATGGAAAAGCTCGGCAGAACCTTGCAGAGGCTGGGTCACAGCTGGTAGGGGCACCATTTGCACCCGAAAGGCCTTTCTCTGGGGACCCGCAGGGTGGGGGCAGAGGTGCACCTGCTGAGTCAGAATCCCAATAGCTACTCTGAAGGATGTGAATGAGGGTCATGACCTCAATGGAGAAGACAGAGTCTATCAGAGACAAGAAACTAACTTCCCCTATGACAGGCTTTGCTTCCTCTCGAATTAATTAGATAATCTCTTCTCATGTCCCCCTAAAAAGAATACTTTCAGCTGAAGTTGAAATTCTGTTTCAGAATTCTGTTAAGAATACTAATACCTAGACAAGGGTCCCACTGGACCCAGTGAGGCTGACAAATCCATGGAGCACCCAGTCCGCAGCCCTCACTCACTCAAGGACTAAGTATAAGGCACATTTCCTTATGCTGACGAACTCTTTCAAAGGGTCACTGGTGGAGGCATTTGATTATTTTTTTATTGGAGACATACATGCCCTTTTGATATTCTTCTGTAAGAAAAATTATATTTTAAATTCAGACACACATTACATAAAATAAAACATTTCCAGCTACTCACTGATACTTCAACCACAACCTGAGAACAAGAATGTATTATGATATAAAATCAGAATCTGTAAGTGAGGAGCAGTTACCTCTCTCTGCACCCGGGCCAGCTCCCATCTGCGTGAGACTCACCGAGCATCGGTCGGTCTCAGAGGTGCAGCGCCCCCACGCAGCCGCAGTTCTCAGGAGACCGCACCCTCACCACAAACAAGACGGGTCTCTCTCTGCCCAGGGTTGCCAACAGTGTCCAGGCCGCTCAGGAGGAAGTAGCCGGTTCTGCCAATGTTAACAACTTTATGAACCAACAGCAATGTGCTGGCTTAGGAAATGATAGAGGACCTTCTAAGTAAAAACCTAAAAACTGATTAATTTATATTTTTCCCATACATAAGCAACTTAACTTTAATCATATCTTTAATTTTCTGTCCCTTCGCTCTGCTGCTGTGGATCCAACATACCTAGTGATTGAACAACTTTCCAGGCTCATTTTTAACAGGCTGCGTGCAATTAAAAGCTAAAATATCACTGAGAGAGACTCATACGTTTACATCGTACCTTAAAATTACAATTTTTGTAAGAAAATAAATCACTTGTCTTTATAAGGAAAAGAAAGTGAGAGGTGCACCGTAAGGAACTTTTAAGTCTGACTAAATGATTTTCAGAAAAAAAATAATGCTTTTGAACGATATTTTACTTGTTTTCACAGGAAGAAAATAATGTATATTGGTACATTTCTCTAAACTTTAAAGGGAAGTTTCCTAAATAAATTTAAGTGTAGGTTAATGAAGAACTACTCTTATAACATTCACAATCTTTCTCTAAATCTTGACCAGTTCCACACACATGCTAATCCATTCTTCCAAATTACACTTTGTTTTACAATAATTTTCCGTGCAAAAGACATATTGTCAGAGATTTTTTTAATTTGCTTTTCATTCACTTTCTTTTCAAATATCAGGTCCATTTGAATAAATATTTGTGGTTTTTTAAAGTAGTACTTCAACACGGGTATATTCATATTAAATTTAATCTTAGGTCGCTCCCAGCTTACAGAAACAGTCTAAATCAGATTTGCACTGTAATTAATTTTAAAGTAATAATTTAAGCTAAGGTTATAGTCCCATATGGAAACTCATCTCAAAAATAATGTGCTTTCTAGCTCAGCAATAGCTAAGTCTGTGTGGAGCTCGTTGAGACAGACCATTTAAACACGGCTCCAGGCAGGTTATTCGGAGAAGGGAGTGTGCGACCTCAACCACATTCCGGGACAGGAGGGCGGCACCCAGGACGGGCAGGCGCGGGCTGTGGACACGGGGCAATACCGGCTCCTATAACGAGAGGGTGCACTCAAGCCGTGTCTGTGAACAGAGAGCCCTCCGTTTTTCATTAATAGCTCCCAGCACACCCTGTCTGTATGTGCGCATTTGTTCCGGGCTCGGCTCTCGCCTTTCTGAAGTGCAGGGTCTTACGCGGGGGTCTCTTAAGTAAACGCAGGGCATTGCTTTAAACGCAGGCAATGGTGATGCATGTGCAGGCAATACAATGCCTCGCAACCTAAAAATATTTGGAACTACGTATTCAACAAATGCTCCTTTCACGAAAGGTTAGTATTCAAACAGTAACCATGAAAGATCCAAAATGGGGGACTGGGCTACCTGCTTCGTTGGCACTCAGGGCACAGGGGGGAAGGAAAGGTGCGTGCGAAGCATTCAGTGAGATACCGGTGCCCTCACGGACGAAATCGCTCCTATACAAACACGCGTGTGTCCTAAGGAGGGCCGTCCTTTCGCGTTTCCAACGCGGACGGCGGACAGGTTCAAATGCGCTTGCAGACAAGTGAACGTTTGAATTCCTGAAATCCGTCCATATGGATGCGAGTCCTGGTCCCTGGCTCTTTGCCCCTTCCCAGCTGTGTGCAGCCAGAAGGATCGCTATCCGACAGCGCGAGGCAGGCGAGCGGGTCCCGCGGTGGCTCACCTGCCCCCCACCCCAGCGTTTGAAAACACGCAGACGCTAACGCAGCTGTGAGGCAGCTGTGCGGTGGAGGGTTCGAGAGAGCAGACCGTGTGCAGTGCACCCGCCGCCGCGCTCGGCCCGTGTGGACTCCCCGGGGCAGTAACGACGCGCACCTGGATTTCGTACCTTCACCAGGTGCTACACTAAACGCTAGATTCGCGTCTTCAGTCTGAAAGGCGCTCGAAACCACCGCCCACTGCAAGGTCGGTGGGGTCTGCTTTAGCTTCTCAAAAGCGTCAGGACAGCGCACACGCGCGCCACACACACCAAGCCCTCGGCTACTCCCGTCCTCACACTTGGTGCCTCGGATCCGGCAGGAAGGAGAAGGAATCCCAGCGCAGAGGACGTCCCCGACTCCCCGCCGGGCCACCATTCCCGAGCCGTTCCCGGCAGTGGTTATCACCCGGTTCCCCTGCCCTCCGTCCCAGAGCTCAGCTCCGCGCCAGACCGCGCTCTCTCCGGGTTCAAGCCCCCAGCCACCAGGCACGCCTCACCCTGAATTGAGAGACCAGCTTCCACGTCTCTCTCCAGAACCCAATTTAAATCCCCAAAGCAAAGCCATTTCTTACCCAAGCTGGAAACTTTTTCCTACTTCCGCAGCGCGTTAGGGCAGGAGGCAGGGCGGCCGGTGTGGAGTGTCCTCAACTGGCCTCTGCACCGTAGGTGCGGTCCCGCGCCGTCGTCCCACCTCAGATGCGCGGGGGGCTCCGGGCCCGCGGTTCCTCGTAGCCTCCACTCGGCGTTCGGGGAACGAGCGTCCTAGGAACGCGCGCCCGCGCCCGGAGCCGCCCTCAGGTCCATCACCGGTCCCTCCAGAGCCGCTGCCGCCGCTCGAAGAACTAACGAGGAGCGCGGGGCTCCTGGGTGGCGCCGAAACACCGCAGCGTGCGCTCCGGATCCGCGACGTGCGTTCCGGGCGCGAGGGCGACGCGCCCGCGGCACCTGCCGCCCGGGGCCGCCCTCCTCTCGCGCTCCGAGCCTCGGGCTGCCTGCCGCTCCGGCACTGTCCGTCCACGTCCTCCGTTACGGCCTCCCCCTCACTTCTTTATCTTTCTTCTTTTTCGTGGCTCCTTCTTTATCGCTGTTTTCCAGAAGCAGACCCAAGGCGCTCCAAGTGGGAAAAGGGTCCCTCCACCTCGCGAACTCTTCCTCTGCCTGGTGGTGGCGGTGGTGGCAGCGGCGGCGGCGGCTGCTAGCCGCGCCTCCTCCCGGCTTTGCGCTCCTCCTCCTCCCCCACCCCCTTCTCCTCCTCCTCCTCCTCCTCCTCCTCCGGCCTCGAGCTCCGCGAAGCTCTGGCCGCCCGCGGGGGACCCAGGTCCGCTCTGCGCATGCCCAGGTGCCCAGGTGCCGGCTGGCGTGGCGCCCGGCTCCGCGGCGGATCCTCCGCGGTCTTGCGCCCGCAGGACTAGGGGACAGACTGAGGGGACTCGGGTGGGCTCGCTGAAGGTGGGGGGAGACGCCGCAGCACAAGCCGGCCACCCGCGTCCCCGGTTGTGCCCCTGGTGCTTCAGGAATAGGTGGCTTGGTCAGTGAGTTTTGTTGTGGGGTTCTTCTAAATGGGTAAGGGCTGGGAGGGAGTCCATTCTTGGACACAACTTATGGATGGAAGTACTCCAGCTCAGCTCAGATGCAGAGCTCGGTTGAAGACCTTTCCTTAGAGAGCAGCCCGATGCCCTCTGTCTCCTGACACATGGTGAGTCTTCGCGCGGAACAATGCGGTGCAGTCCGGGCGATTCCTCTTCTGGAAGTTCACCCCTCGGAAGTGAATGAGACAACGCAGGCGTGGAAAACACAGGCACGCTCGCGTGCGCGCCACGCACACAGTTTCTGGACCAGAAAAGAAAAGTAAGGATCTTGCTACCCAGGCTTTTATATTTCACATACAACTTAAGAGGAAGGAGCAAGGGAGGAAAGGGAAGCAGGGAGGGAAAAAATAAATTTCTTTACTGCTTTCGGCTAGCCATTTAAGGAAAACGTGAAAGATGTCAACGTTGCAGAGTTGCCAAGGAGGCTGCCCCCCAGCCTCCGAAGGTTTCTAAAAGAACGTGTAAGAAATGGTTAAAGGAGAATTTCATAAGCAAAGACTAAATAGAGAGCCTTGGCCGGATAGCGCAGTTCGTTCCAGCAACGTCCCAGTACGCCAAGATTGCGGGTTCTCTGCCTGGTCAGGGCACTTACAAGAATCAACCAACGAATGCGTCAGTAAGATGAACAACAAAGCGCTCGCTCTCTCTCTCTCTCTCCCCTTCTGTCCCTCCCTCCTCTTCTCTCAAAAAAGTCTATCAATAAATTTTAAAAGGCACAATACAAAATGAATATCTTTACAGTATTAAAAAAGCATGGTTCTGCTCATTCTATCTGGAGCTAGAAAATAAACAGGAAAAGACAATTCTTCACTGAGAAGATAAGTAACATTAAGAGAAGAAAGAAATGTAAATATATAGTTTCTGAGTTCACATTCTGTTCTAGGTAGAACGATCTTTAGGAGAGAAGAGACTAGACATTGCACAGAGAGAATTAAGGTCATGCTGGGGGTGGGGACCAATGAGAAAGCCTGTGGCTACTTAATTCCAATATCCTTGCTCAGGTGACTCACCTACAGAGTCCCTGGATGATACTAATGATATTAATACAGCAGCAATCTTATTTGGTAACTGTTCAGATGGAATGCAATAGCTGCCTTCATGTATTTTCTTAATTTCAAGACAAACATTCCAACAAGTATTTTATCCATATGTAATAAAGGAGAAAGACACAAATCTAAAGGATTAAGTAAACTGACCACCACATAGCCAGTAAGAGGATCACGACTTTAAATGAAAACATAGAATTACTACTTGTCTCTGAGAACAGAAGTACCTTTGATAATCCTGTTTGGTAAACCCAGAAATTATAGACAAGGAGCCAGAAAAATGGTATCTATCTAGTGATTAAGTCTAAGATCAATCTCTAGCAATATTCTACTGAAGATCATGAAATAAATCATTTGCCAGTTGTCAGAAAAGGAAGCAACTTATATGTATAAGTATCCAGAAGGTATCCAGTTATATAATATGAAAAAGAGACATTTATTAAAGAAGATACAAGAAACAGTGTACATAGGACAATGATGCTTCAGTCCCCTTCAAAGCAGGCACCTTGGCACCTCGCACAGTTCTCCTAATCACCATCAGCTGCTCTGTCATATTGTCCTGAATCTCATCAACAGTCTGAAATGTCTTCCCTTTCTAAGGTGATTTTAGTTTGGGGAAAAGCCAGAAGTTGCAGGGTGCCAAATATGGGCTGTAGTGGGGCTGAGTCACCTGGGTAATTTGATGCTTTGCCAAAAAACTCTTCAGGAGACATGATGCATTAGTGGGCACATTGTGGTGATGAAGCTACCAATTATCAGTTGTCCATAGCTGTGACCTTCTGAATCATTTGAATAGTTTCTGCAGAGGAATGTTCAAGCTTTGTGCAAAATTTGTTCCAGATTTGTTGCTTTATTTGCTCAGTCATTTTGAATACAATGGTCACACAATACACATGCTCACTCAATGGTGTCTACTGCCACCACTGACTAGTACAGTGAAGTCGTCATTGTTCACACATGCACATTCCAGTCCACTCTCCTTGGCTGCCAGGTTACGTCAAGGTCATGCAAACTACTCTCATTATATTAACAAGGGTTGGACTTATTCTGGACAGACCATAATATTTTATATCGTATATCTTACCAGGACAATTTTATTTCTAAAGAGAAGTAGTTATTAAATTCATATGTATGGTGTTTCCTGATTCCAGCCAACTTTCCCATTATCTTTATGGGCAAGATAAATGTAAATCATGTGCTAACTATGAAGAAACTAAAAACTAGCAGTGTTGACAAAGTTGCCACAAGTGTGTTGGTAAGTGGATTGATTCATGCTGGATCAAAGTAAGATCTTTGATTCTGAGCCTGGTGCTCTATTGTTCAGCCAATTTAGTAAATTATATTTAAGAGGAAAATATAAAAGGGATACATACTAGATTTGAGAATGAACCAAATTAGGACCAAAAGTTAAAACCCAGAGAACACTTTACTGAGGATGTTTATCTGAACCAAAGGAGATAAACTAGAGCTGAAATTCATTTTGAAATCCTGTATTTTAGGTTTTTTTCTAAAGGATGAGCATGGGATTTATTCAATTATTCAATTATTAAGTGAGACTTCAGTTACGGACAAGACAGTTAACAGCACACTTACCTCTCTACCTCTCTTATAAGATAAATACAAAACCTGGACAAATTATGGGAAACACTTTTAGTTACAAACAACAACCAACACAGGGCAGGCCCATAAGGAGTCCATTCCCATGGAAATTTTTTTCTTATTGACCATTTTTTCCCCCCAGCAGAAGAAGTACTGGGATGAGACCAAGCAGGGAGCTACAGAGTCTAAAGGCAGAGGACATACCCTGTAAGGGTGACAAAATTGGAAGGGAGCTAGGGGACACAGTTGCAGAGAGGGGGACACAGAGAGAAAACCCCAGAAAGCTGTGTGGAAATCTCCTGAGTTCCTTGCCTGCATTCCTAGGCTTTATGGGCCAGGGTCACAATTCTGGCGGCCTGATATAGTGCAGTAGCTAGAGTTGGAAATTCAAATAGAAATCACACAGTTATGGGAAGATATTGAAATATGGGCCAAACAGAGTAGAAAGACCTTGGAAAACACCTTGGACATTTGGGTGAAACCTCCTGAGGATGCTTTCTAGAGGTGTGAAGGAGGCCCTAGGAGAAAGAATAAAACCAAAATAGATTTGCCCTGATGAAACAAAAACCAGGCCTTTGGAGAGTTAAGATGATCCATCACCCATCTAACATCTACTACAGCACCTCTCAAAATTCACCAGAGGAAGAAAACATAAGCTCTACAAATGCAATATGCAATAAATGCAATATGCAATGAAAACTTACCAGACATACAAAAAGGCAGAAAAAAGGGGGTGAATAAAAAAAAAAGATGACACTGTCAATAGTCAGAGGCCAAGAAATGATCCAGATTTTGGAATTGGTAACCAAAGACTTTTAAATAGCCATAATTAATAAATTAAATAAACTCTCCTGGAAATGGGGAAAATGAGTGAAGATAGAGCATTTCAGCAGATTATTAGATTCTATAAATAATTAAATGAGCTTTTGAGCAGCTAAATCAAGAACTAATTATATGGATTTAAAAACCACTTGTCACAACAGAAAAAAGGGCTGATGGCCTCAAATATGAGCCAACAGAAAATATCCAGGAGGAGAAGAGAAGACCAGAAGCAACATCTGAAGAAATAATGCGTGAGAATTTTCATAACTAATGAAAGATTTCAACCCAGAAATCCAAGAAGTTCAGTGAGCTAGGTTCACAAGAGTTAAAAAATTGTTGAAAACCAAAGACAGAGAAAATGTGAAAATGAGACAGAAAAAAAAAACAGAAGAAAGAAATATCACCTTTGAAGGAACAATATGAATGAATATTGGCTTCATCAGAAAAAAAAACATGAAAGCAGAAAGACTTATTTAAGGCACTGAAAGAAACAAAAGCCTATCAAAGTAGAATTCTATGTGCATTGAAAAGAATCTAAAATCAATGTTGGGAACAGGTACACTCAGACAAATGAAAGCAAGAAAGTCACCTTTAACTTGGAAACTAAGAGAATGTCATTTCTAGAAATAATACGACAATATTGTGTGCAACATTTATATGTAACATTTCAATACATTAAAGCTTTTATTTTTTGTTACTTTAATGTTTTGATGAAACTCGTAGTGGTGAAAACAAGCTAAAATGGGCCGAGGTGTCTGTCTGAATGCGACAGAAATGCAGAGATGGCAGAAGGTGGGCTCACACCCAGCTTCCCATCACCCCTGAAGTCACACGTGATGATTTCTGCCCACAGATGACATTATTCCAACTGTTCTTAAGTAAACCAAAAATGAACAAACTGCATGCCCTTTATTATGAACCAAATGACTGCTGTCATATGGTTCATAATATACACATTTAATTTTCTAAAAAGTTTTATTCACTTTGGGTTATTTATGGTATAATTTTAACTCATGAATTTCCCTCTCACCATGAGCTTTGGAGTTTGCATAGCTTGCAAAGCATGTGCCAGGAACACGAAATAATTATAGCAGTTGACAAAGTAAG